CCCAGACGCTTTGGTGGGCAATGATACTCTTTTGCGTTTTACGAGAAACAGCAGCCCCAGTTGCGGCTGGGAAGTGGAAGTCACCACCACCACCACCAATTGCTGCCACACCCTAATCACAGTCTTTTCTCCTCGAGGTGGAATGCGCATCTCTAGACAGTACTAGGCAACATCATCTTCAGACCTAGCACACATCTCTATTCCAAGGGTTTGTTGGCCATCATCCTTCTCGTAAGGTATTTCCTGCGCATCTTGCCGTGTGCCCAATTCCTCCATCGTGAGCAACATTTTGTGCAACCACTTCCAACTCCTGGAGAGCGCTTGGATCACACTTCCTCCCAGACACCAAGTTTTCATCTCCTTCCGAGTTCTTCGTCAGAGCTCTTTGCCAGAGACTCAGTCTTCGACACACAAAATATCTTGCACTTTGTTTACGCAGACCCGCGCCTCGTCACCGAATCATCTCACTCGATCAAAGTCAGCCAGCATGTCGTTCACAGGCGATCCTTCGAAGATTCCTCCTCCCAAATCCGGCTCCACTGAGGCGTACAATATTTTGGCATTGGACGGTGGTGGTGTGAAGGGGATATCGTCAATGATGATTCTCAGTAAAATTGTGAGTCTGGCTTGTCATGTTATCTAGTGCCCATTCAGAAACACAGGAAAAGTTCAGAAACAGAGCAAGGATGCTAACTCTATGGGGGTTAGATGGACCGCGTCCGCGACGTTGAGAATGAGGCCAAACGATCGAGGGGCGAACCCACTGACCCAGAGGAAAGAAAGCCCGTAGATTATTTCGACCTTGCTGCAGGGACAAGCACTGGTGGACTCATTGCCCTTATGTTGTTCCGTCTCGAGATGAACTGCACCAATGTGATTTCACAATACCAAGATTTGGCCGAGCAGGTCTTCAGCCCAATGCTTGGATCGATCCGTCTCAACAGCCTTGGGACTATTGGGAAGTGGATTGGTGATATCTGGCTGAAGCTCAAAGCTCTCGCTGGTCGATCACAGTTCTCTCACAAGCCGCTTGAACAGGCCATCGACACAGTGGTGTGGAAATTCCCTCTTGACGATGATGACCAAGTCAGAAAGGGAGACGCCGCGCTCGTCAAACCGAGTAAAGGCCAGATGTAAGTTGTTCAGTCCAGCTCATCGCAATGACTGCAACGGAGACTAAGTCGAGCTAGGTTCATGTGTGCGACCTTGGCCGACAGAGGAGAGAGCATCCTACTGCGCAACTATGACCCTCCATTTGCACCGCTTCCGGTGTCCAACGGGGCTAGCGACCTCAAATTCAACGCCATCACTATCAAAGAAGCAGCCCGCGCAACTTCTGCCGCACCCACTTATCTCAAGGAGGCTAGCATCCAGGGACTGAATTTCTGGGATGGTGGACTCCTGAACAACAACCCTATCGTGCAGGCGTGGGACAATCGGTATGACCTTGTCTTGCGCAATGCTCCGCCTCCCCAAATCAAGTGTATCCTGAGCTTAGGGACCACACATCCCGAGTATGACGAGAAGAAGCGCCCGGGATCCGGTCTTATGAGGTTCTTCAACACCATCACCAAGACAGTGGCCTTTGTGACCAACACCGAAGCCAAGCACCGTGACTTTGATCGGAACATGCGACAGCGCAACGAGCGAGTTCCGGACAGGAAGACATCGTACTACCGGTTTAATGCGTCAACGGGAAAGGACGATATCGATCTAGGGGATTATCTGAAAATGCCGCAGTTGATGGAATACACCGAAACGTATCTGAAGAGACCCGAGATTGATCTGTGGGTCAGTGAATGTGCCGCCTTGCTTGCGAAGACGAACCAACCCTGAGGGAGTATGGGATCATTCTGGAGTAGAGGCGATGCTGTGGGCGGAGTGGATCTGAGGAAGAAGTGGACTACAGGATAGTTTCTTCCAAAGGAGGGATTATGGTCAGGTTTATGCTGCATTGAAGGGGGTAATACTGGTAGTAAGTAGTGTAGAAGCAGTGGAATGCTTCTAGCGTGGCGTCTGAGAATCTCTCAACTCGTGCTTATACAAGTGGACGACATGTTGAATCTGCACGCCAAGTACATACCAAGTAAGTATTTGGGCGCATGATGACGTGCTTCGACATAACGTTACTTGTCCATGAAACGACCACCTGATGGTTTGGCATTATGTACATGGACTTGCACTTGGCTACTTGTACACGGCACCGAGCACTTTTCGCACCACCATCACACCACCGAAATAAATGACCCTTGGTTGATACTTGATATTATACCCGTACGCTGTGCCTGTCCTTGTCCTTGTCTTCATCCTGCAAAGCAAGTTTATCAAAAAACCCCGCGAACTGTTGTAGCGACAACAACGACAATAAAAGCACAAACGCTGATTCGTCGTATCGCCATCATTGGTACGAAAGTACGAAGTATACATACTAGGTTGTTGGATATCCACTTCAATAACAAACCATCACCACGCCACACCAGCGATCGCGATAGTAATTGATCAGGTCGGGAGGAAGCGAGTCGGAATACAGAGAGAGAGAGAGAGAGAGAGCCACGCACACATACAAGAACAGACGAAGAGGGAGGGATAGAGATCTTTCATCGACTCTGCCACAGTATTCACCAACCCCGTCAACAAGGACGACACACACACATACATCACATACATAAAAAACGATGACATCTTCTACCACCACCGCTGCTCCTCCTCCCACAGGGGAGCTCCCTCCCACCACCGCGGCGCTCCCCGCAACGATGCGCGCCTGGCAATTCACGTCGACGCACCACGGGCTGGAGAAGAATCTGCATCTCAACGACGCGGCGCCCTTGCCACCGCACGACGCCAAAACCCTCGGCAAGGACAAGGTGCTCGTCCAGGTCCTCGCCGCGGCGGTCAACCCGGTCGATTACAAGCTGGCCGAGATGCCCGTGGTGGGACGGATGTTGATCAAGACGCCGAGTTCGCCCGGGCTGGATTTCGCGGGGAGGGTCGTCGCCGTGGGTCCGCCGTCCTCGTTGCCACCGCCACCGCAACCGTCGTCGTCTTTTCCGTCGTCGGGTTTTGCCGACGATCTCAAGATCGGCCAATTGGTCTTTGGCCGTCTCGACCAGCCGACCCAGTTCGGCACGCTGGCCGAGTATACCCTCGCGCCGCGCAACGGGCTCGCCCTCGTGCCGGAGGGTGTCGCCGTCCGCGACGCCGCGTGCATCGGCACCGCGGGCCTCACGGCCTACAAGGCCATTGTGCCCAATGTCCAGCACCTCGCGAGTGGCAGCAGCTCCGGCGGGAAGAAACCCAGCGTCTTCGTCAACGGCGGCAGCGGCGGCACGGGCGTCTGGTCCATCCAGATCGCAAAGGCCCTCGGGTGTCACGTCGTCGCGACGTGTTCGGGCAGGAATGTCGAGTTGTGCAAGAGTCTCGGTGCGGACGAGGTGGTCGACTACACAAAGGGGGATGTCGTGGGGGTTTTGCGCAAGATGGCTACATCTCCTGAAACCACAACCAACACTAATACTACTACGACGACGACTACTACTACGACAACTGGAGGCGGTCCCTCGAAGACTGAAAAATTCGACCTCATCGTCGACAACGTCGGCACCTCCGACGCCCTCTACTGGCAAGCCCACCACTTCACGACCCCAAAGGCCAAATACGTCCAGGTCGGCGCCGGTATGTCCCTCCACGCGACGCTCCAGACGGCCATGAAGATGCTGTGGCCGGGCTTCCTGGGCGGCGGCCGTCGTAAGTTCCACATGATGATGGTGGCCAACGACGCGGCGGCGCCGGCGCAGTTTGCCGAGCTGGGCGGGTGGTTGGCTCAAGGGAAGATGAGGGCCGTGGTGGACGAGGTGGTGCGGTTCGAGGACGCGCCCAGGGCGTTTGAGAAGCTCAAGACGGGGCGGGCGAGGGGGAAGATTGTCGTGGATGTTGCTCAGTCGGTCACCAAGTGAGTGATTTACGGAGTGGTGCTGGTGCCGTTGGAGTTGTAGCGTTGATTTTGATGGTCAGGATGGGGAGGACAAGACGGAGGAGAAAAAGAGGAGGATGAGGAGAAGAAGAGAGGGAGGGGGAGGTGACGAAGACGAAGAAACAGAACGAGGACAAGAAGAGGACAAGGAGGATGATGATGGCGAAGAAGCAGGACAGGAAGAGGACGATGAGGGCGAGGAGGGTGGCAAGACACGTTGGAGTGTCTGTTCTGTTGCCTTGCCTTGTCTTGCTGGATTGTTCTCCTCTTCTCCTCGGGCGGTATCCAAACCTGCCGACGGGCTTATGCGGTGCGTGTAATCGAGGTTGGTTTGCTTTGCTTTGCATTTCAAAAAGGCATGTGTAATCCGGGCAAGTCACAAGGGACAAGTCGTCAGAAGCTAGCTCACCGGGGTCTCCTGTTTTCGGAGCATGGCGGTGAGAGAGACGAACCGAAAAATTCAATATTCGCGATATCCAGCCGTACATAATATGACAGACAGTATCAAGTCACACCAAAGCACATGTGCAGGAACACACACCCTCACAGAATCACAAACCACGGCGCATTTCCGCGGCCGGGCGTATCTGATTCTTTTGGTTGACTCCAGTCCCGCCCTCTTCAAGGCGCAGGACAAACATCGAGTGCGACATGTGCTCGTGTTTCCTACCCACAGAGTTTTCTTCTGTGCCCGTTTCGTCGTGGCAACCACACCAACCCAAGGATGTAACGTCGGAAATCGCCTCGAGAGAGGTAGAGTCGAAGAGTAAGGGCGCGGGTGTCTGAGATGGCTTGTTGCATCGTCGTATTCAGCTCCTGGGAGGTAGAACAGGCCTGATCCGACTTTTGCCCTGATGCCTACCACAGGGTTATGTTGCAGTGACAACTGACATCTCTCGTGAGAGGCGTCGTAGCTTGGTCGGTCGAGGATAATGAGGCTTCAGCCTTGCATAGATGTTGGAGTTCTCTGGTACACTATGCTGAGGCAGAGAAAGAAATCCTTCACAGGGATTGGGGTTCCTCACCGGTTATGGCACAGATCGGTCATCGTCCTAATGCCAGCAAGCGCGTGAATTCCAAACCCCGGGCTCGCGCACCCTGCAATCAGATTGCCTTGTTTCTGGCTTGGACGTGGCCTGACGACACTGTGCAGGCTCGTGAGGACAACCTCATCGAGTTGCACAACAATCAGCCGATTACCAAACTTGGGCGTGAGAATCTGCGCGTCAGAGTTGTTTCACTTGAGCCGCCACAAGTCTAGACATGGCGGACGCACCATTTCCCAAGCAGGAGGACGATCCCACGCACTGCATAGAGGAACTAGAGCATAGCAAAGCTCCTCTTTCGGGTCAGTCGGTCAGAGTCTGCTTATTCATGCCCCGGAAACGCAACTTTCTAGCCTCGGAAGCGACGTTCCGTATTCCTTCTTGAAGACAACGCCCTTCAGAAGTTCCGATCAACGTCCTAGGCGTAGCTATGCTGACGTTGAGCCTCGAATTGACGAAGTGTGCAACATCAACTCGCTGATTCTCCAGCAAGGATGGAATGAGGCCGCTTTTTTGACGCGCAAGGAATCCGACCGGTCCAGCCGCGTGGGATGTAGAGTTGAGTCTTCGATCACGAGACTGTGTTGTGCGTGTACGAGGTATCTTGGATGTTAAGGCCAGGACAAGGTATGGCCATGATGATGGAGGAATCTTGGAACCCCAGTGAGGATGCAACTTGCGAAAGACCAGCATTGCCACCAATAAACGACTCTAGGCGTCAGACTCGAGGACATGGGGATTGTGCGAAAAGAAACTCTGGGGATTTGAGCGGCAGTCATTCCGAATGAAGTGCAAGGTACCCCTTTCTGGGGGCACGGAATGGATGGAAGGACTTGAATACGAGCATCATCCTCGCAACGAAAAGCGCCTGGTGATGTTCCAGCACCTTTACGGGTAACAGCGGGACGTCACCATAGTGTCGCAGAGAATGAGGCTCTGAGATCAAAGTTCGACTAGCATGCCCGTGGTAGAAACAAACAAACGGGACCTGACCGGAGTGGATAGAACGAGGGGTGACGCACAGGAGGGCGCTGCAGGCGTTCATGCAGGTCGGCAGGTCAATTGTGCGTGCTAGGTCGACACCATACCTACAGAGGTAGGTTCTAGAAGAACCAGGAGTCCCGGAGAGAAAGAGGAAAGTATAGTCAAGGCATACTCGAAGAAATCGGGCGCTCGGTGACGGATGGTGGAGCCGGACAGGAAGAAGCGAAAGTGAGGACGAAGCTCTTCCTCAGCTGTCACAAGGACACTTGCGGTTGACGCGGCTTTTGTCCAGGCGAGTTGGACCTGGTCGTGACAGGCACCTTTTGAGGGAAATGTTTTGATCCCGGTCTACCAGAAAGACCAGGATGAGAGCCAAGACAACATACATAGAGGTATGCATATGTTGACATGGATGGTTGGCGACTGACGGTGGCGGAGTATGTTCCTCGTACTGCTCGACATATGCCACAGACGTTACCTGTCCGTTTTGGTGGCCACGCTATGGAATCCCAGGGTGGGTTCGAGCAAAGAGGGCCTCCGTATGCAGCATATCATGTTCTTGCACAAACTTTTGTGGGCCGATCCTGAGTATGATGAAGGGGTTGATGCAGGCGTTACTCGACTTTGGGATGCCAGTGTTGTGAGTGGTACCGTGGAAACAATTTTGAACATTCCCCCATTGAGGCTCTGTTGTTGTCGACCAATGATACATGATTATTACGTTGATCTCCATTATAGCCTCTCCTAGAAGATCTGTGTCTTGGTCTTCCTTTTACCAGCCATCCTTGGGTTGAGCCCAGGTAACAAGAGGTTGTACTAGGAGACTGGTTGTTTAGAATACGCTGCATCGAGATAGGAGGATAACAATGGAGAAACGGGCCGAAGTGGGCGATACTGTTCACCTCGAGAGTGGCAGAGTGAACGCCACAGGTGATTTAGCCGATGCAATAAGCGGCCTTGCAATCTTCATCAATGGGCACTGCCAGTGAAAAGCACATGTTGAGTGCATGCACGGCTGAGCACGAGTCTCCGAGACACCGGATAAGGCCGGGGGACTTTTGGAGGACTTTTTCTTGCTAAACGAAATAGGCTAGGGATGACGCTGGAGTACGAATGAGGAATAATGTGGGAAGTGAGAGAGGCAGAGAGGCACGAGAGAAAAGACAGTTTGGAAAAGAGGGGGAAACGCGGAACAAGGTAATGGGCGATGCCGTTGTGCCGTTAGATCAAAGGGCTGAAGCCAAGCACCAATGGGGAACGCAGGTTGTGAATGAACGAGGGGTTGATTGATGGCAGTGCTGACTCCTCATTCTGGCATAACCAGCATTAACGGGGGAATTTTGTCGCCGGCCACATTCTGGCAAGGCGCAATTGATCACCGACCACCTGACCCCAAGGACAGCGTCAGTGTCATTGTCAGTAGATGATCAGGATCATCATGATGAAACTTCAATGACTGGGGGGATGATAATGATAATTTCCCGGAACACGAGGGGTACGGGAAGGGCCTAGGCATGGAGGAGGCCCTTGAATTATGACTGGGCCTGAGTAATTCTACCAAAGACACCCAATGAACACAAGGTGGCCGCGGGTGCCGCTGGGCGATGATGACTGCAACGTACATGAGATGCTGCAGGTGTGAGGAGCCGCCGCTTGTGTGCAGCCGTGGGAGCTTGGGACCAGTGTCGACCGGTGTGACAAGCGGCAAGTATAATAACCACCAATGACGGGATCTCTGGGAGACTCTCCGCCCTTGAGGCGAAGCAGGCAACCGGCCGCCAAACCTCGAGTCCACTAGGCGATTTCGGGGGCACCCAGGTCGAGTAGGTATAGTTGTAGGTGAGGAGCACCGCCTCGCCCCCAGGGCACCTCTCTGGTTAGGTGACCCTCTATCAAACATGTTTGTTTCACTGTCCCTCCATCTTTTCTAGGTACTACAACTACACCCCCCTAGGGTTTGGCCCCAAAACTATGGTTCATGCCTGTTTCCCTTCCTTCACCCTTCTTCGGCCTTCGGGTCAACTAGGGCAACTAGGGGCAAGGGCCGGCGCCCTTCCTGGCCTTGTGCCTCTTTGTGGCCTATCATGAGTCACGCCGGGGCATGCAGCTCCCTCCATCTGATGCCTGTCAGTGCCTGTCTTGGCCGTGGTGGCAGCCTGGCGATTTGGTCTCTTGTTGCTCCACTTGGTGCCTTTTTTGGTTTAACGCATCGCCAGGCTTCCAACCAAAGTCCCTGCGAAAGTCCATGGGCTCGATTTGTCCGCATATGCTCGACATCGCACCGATGTGTCCTCACCTCAATTGGCTCATCCCACCTCGAGGCTATATCTCTCCCATACTTCCCACCATTTGCTCCCATTGAAACTTCTCTTCTTCCATCAACACATTCCACCACATTGACTACTTCCACAGACATATCCATACCGTCTTCCAAAGGCGCGTTACCCTCGACCTTGTCGCAGTCGACCAGGCTGCCGATACCTCACCACACCATTCAACCACCTGCCGTCACGCTGTCGTCTCCACGCTCAGTCACCTACTATTATTACCCCAAGCGGTCCTATGGTGCAGATATACTAACTCCCGCCTACGAGTACGTTACTGTCACTCGCGCTCCGCAACGAGTCAACACTCAGGTTCAGACACCTCCATCGACACCTCCATTGAGTTTCTCTGCGACCCCGTCGCCTATCCTCAAGTCACCTTCGACTCCAATCGACAAGATGGCGAGAGGTGCCAGCACTCGCAACGTCGAGTTTGCGACCGAAGTGGTCTCGTGTCGCGAGCCGCGCGACGACGAGCTCTCCGTCATGGAGCACTTCGCCAAGCACTCGGCACGTTGTGAGTACTGCCGTGATCCATACACGGCCTACAGAGAGGACCGACCTCTGTGCAGCAAGGGTCGGTCATATGCAAAGGATGTCGCCACCTATCTCTACGCCAAAGGTGGCAAGCCATTTTCCCTCATCGACAAGTCCAATGGCCAACGGGTTCAGGTCCGCGTGCCAGCCGGCTGTGAGGTCATCAATCTTCTCATCAAGGCCTTTGACAAGGGCATGAAGCTTGACTCGCCGAGACTTGTGGTTGTCGATAACACAAGGAGACAAGAAAGTGTTGAGAAGTCCGCCAAGGTCGTCTCACCTTCGTCACCTTCGTCACCCTCAAGACGGAGAGAGTACCTCACTGACGATCGACCACGGGAGAGACGGTACATTCGCGACGACTACGACTTGGTTGAAATCATCCCTCACTCGAGCCGAAGGGAGAGACGGGAGAGAATCGTTTACCATGACGACCGTGGCGAGGATCGAACTCGTTATGAGTACCGAGAGAGGCCCAAGTCGGTGGCCTACACTGGGGGGAAGGGCAGTCTGTATGTCCGAGACGAAGAGGAGAGGCGGCGGCGAGAACGGTACGACCGCCAGCCAGTTGTCATTGTCGCTGAGCCTGGCCAGCAGCAGCGGTTCACCAGCAGGCGGTGAAGGACTGGGGCGTTTTTCGGAAAGTCTTGAATTTTACTTGGGAATATGAAACTATGGATCTAATGGAATGTATCAACAAATGACACCAACATCAACAATCATGGCATCGACCACAGCAAGGGATGGCCCCAAAACCTCAAGAAAGGGGTGGGAAAGGGAAATCCCAGTGGGCACGCTATGAATGAGCGACAAGTGCCACCACACAACTGGATGGTCCAGCGATGAACCGATACGAAAGGGGAGCACGACTTGCAGCAGTCCAGCCGGGCTCACTCATGGGGTTCGCCAGCGTGGCCCCGTCAGCAACTATGCATGCATGGGTTGACAGGTGGTTGACTATTGTCTTTTGGTCCATCTTGGGCCAAGACGCCCGTTGGTCTGACTTTGGACTTTTGGACTTTTTGTGATTGTCTCGTTACATCATTCTGTGGCAAGAAAAAACAACAACAACGACACAAAAAAAACAGAGTTGCGCAATTGGGTTTGGGTTGAGAAATTACTCATTTCTATTGTGGCCGTCACTCTCACTCGAGAGGAGTCGAGGTGACTGGGGAAACTCTGCGGCTCCCGACATTGAGGGGGACCTGAATTGTGGATAGATGGAATGATGGGACACAACAGACGACATGAATTGAGAGGAGGAGCAGCATTGTGGCATTTTTCTGAGAAGCAAATGCGACAATTGCTGGTGGAGGCAAAGCCAAGGCTGCCTTTTGGGGGGGGGGGGGATACTGACAAGGACCTACCTAC